GTCTGAGTGCCATGGCATAAGCTAAAAGTCAAAATCTAGTGAAGAAAATATTAATTTGAGTTGAAAATTTAATTTTTTAATAATAATTTAATAAAAACATAAGGGTCAGTTATAGTTTTAGGTGCAGGCATCATGAGGAAGAAGAAACATATTTAGCAATTAACCTTCTATGAACATACATCTTCCCGAAAGCAAGGGAGTTCACTGACTATATGAGCCAAGTTTCCACCCTTGCCGAACTAGGCTGGAAATTCGTGGCTCGATTGTACCCACGAGTTAAGTCCCTTCTATGTCCTTCCTGACCAATCAGATTCTTCCTCTCATATCACTGGCATTTGCTTCAAACAAAATGGTGGCGCCCTGTCAAGACAATCTGATCGATAATCATGATCTTTACTGTAATAAAACAGGTCTTACCTCGCAAAGTGCATCTGGTCACTTTATCACCTCGAATAATAACGTGAAAAGATTTGGAAAATATCTGTGGACACCCAGTTGAGGGAACACACGCTCTGCTAATCCTGCAATTGACCATCTTCCCGAAGCAAGGGAGTTAACTGACTTTAAAAGTCCAGTTTCAACCCTTGCCGAACTAGGCTGTAATTCCTGGGCTCGATCCTAGTGCCACCAGTGGTTATTACGAGTCATGTCCCTTGTGAGCCTCTCCTATGGACCAATCAGATTCCAACTCTCGTATCACTTACGTTTGTATCAAACAAAATGGCAGCGCCCAGTCAAGACGATCTCATCCATAATCAAGTTGTATAGTGTTATAAAACGGGTCTTACATCGCGAAGTGCATCAAATTGAGTGAGCACCTTGATTAAAAACATGGAAAGATTTGGAATATATTTGTTGACAACGAGTTGGCGGTGCACATCTTTGCAAATCCTGCAATCAACCGAAATCTACACGACAGTTTACTGACCGGATTTCGATTTTGTTGCGCGATTTTGTTCGGACTATGCATAGACTCGTGAGTCCAACCAAAATGTATCTCCATAATACCATCCTAGCTCGGCAAGGGTAGAAACTGGACTTTTATAGTCAGTTAACTCTCTTGCCTCGGGAAGATGGCAAGTGACTGAAATCTGCACTGAAGTTTCCGAACAGTATGGCGATGACTCGGCATGACTCGTTAGTCCAGTCAATATGTAACGCCATTATTCCAGCTAGTTCAGCAAGGGTGGAAACTGGACTTTTATAGTCAGTTAACTCCCTTGCCTCAGGAAGATGGTGACCGTACTGTATGATATCAGGTTGCAGGGAGATGCTGCAGGGAGTGTATGTTACTACTGGAGGCATGTGACAAGATTACAATGATGCATGTGATCAGGGAAGCTCTGTGGTTTTGTGTCAAGGAAAGTAGGTAGTTTTCTTTTAACCAGAAATTATCATTGAACGTGTATGTATTGCGTATCCATGCTTCATTTCACATATAGTTAAAGGCACAAGTAACTGGGATCTTATGAAATTATTAATGACCAATAGTGATTAATTATTATGATGAAGTGGATAGTGTGGATTGACAGATTGATCAGTCTTGTAACTGTGTAATTACACATGTGATGATTAAGTTAGACCAGGGTACCTGTGTTGATGCATATTGAGGCCGAAAAGAATATCGGATCTGAAAAATATTTTCCTTTCATCCTGATTTACAGTTCGTTTAGGGAATAAAATATATCTCAGAAATATTGAATATCAATATGATTTTCCATGTGGATGTATATAGGGCAGCTTTACAGAATGTATCAGTCAATGGGTTTATCTCTGTTATTTCTAGGCTATGAATGGAGTCAGGAGATAGATTGTCTGTTGTATTGTCAAGTGTATTTTGATAATGACGGCCAATCTTCACAGTATGTGTTTGGTGGACTTTGATGCATTTTTGCTTTGATATGAATGCTAGCCTGTGGCTAGTGAAATGTTTAAAAGGCTAGTGGAACGTAGCTTTGTCTCATCCCAATTTGACAGACATTCATGTCAGAGTAATTCAAAGCTTCGAGATGGAGTTATATAATGACGGCCAATCTTCACAGTGTGAGCTTTGATGCTCTGTCAGTGTAGTGTTATGATAGTTTAACATGAATACCAGAGTGTGGCCAGTAAAATGTTCAAAGAGCTAGTGGAATCAGCGATAGAAACTAACTGTTTTAGTCCACTTGTCCTTATAATGATAACATACAGCAAAACCTTTAATAATGGCAAATTTCCACTAGTCCTTATGATACCTTAAAAATTAGGCTGTATGGCATGGACTACAGAACTTGTGCCAATTTCTACCCAAATGGGTATATTGTGTTAAGCCCTTTTCTGGTGTCCCCAGCCGTGATATTGCTGGAATATTGCTAAAAGCGACATAAAACCATACTCACTCACCCACTGATTGTGTGTCACGGCTCTCTGGCATTGACTACAGAACTAGTGCCAATTTCTACCGCTGGGAATGTAGACGGCCACAAGCCTTGTCTAGAAATGTTTGGGGGCTAACAGTTTTATATCTACAAGATGGAGCTACTTATGATTCAAACCACTGTTCTAAGTGAATAATTGTCACAACCTACAATGGAAAACTCATGTTAGCAGTTTCAACCTGACAAAAAAATAAAGTAAAACATTTTCATGTTTCTTGATAATTGTGTCATCATGTTATAATGGTATGGGTTTCTGCTTGTTCTATCAACACCTGGATTTATCTCGCCCAGACATGTTTTTTTTGTTTTTTAAGCCACCATAGAGCTGTAATTATACGGTGGGGTTGCGATATGATATGTATCCCAATACTATGGTGCGATACGATTCGTAGTCCGATACAGTACTTCTATTAGTTGATCTTCCTTCTTTCTTCAGATGAATCACAACCCTGTTTTTAAATTTCAGCAATCGAAGATGGTATACAGAGCTCCAGATAAGCTCTTGGTTTTGTGGGTATTTTACCCATGCATTTCAAAATCAGTGGGTATCAGTAATTCTATTTGGGTATTCAAATTTCTTTTACCCACTAGTTTGTACACATGTGGGTATTTAAGTTAAATATTTACAAAACACTATTCATCTAGTCCCTGCAAACTAGTGTCGTGTGGGTTCGAGAGCTTTATAGGACTCAAAAATACCATGATACTTCCACAAGAAAGTGTGATGGCAAATGATCATGATGTAACTGTCCCCGTGAAGTTTGGCAAGTTTGACGGAATGTCTGTTTATAATTTCAAAATACGTTGCTGATTTGCTAATCGAATACGCAGGGTTACTTCACAATATTTTGATGATACGCACAAGTTTTATTTTTGTAGAAAATCTGTAATGTTCGTTGCGTATATGATACGCTTGGATTTTATTTTACTGTGTATTTCTGCATTTTTTATACATATTTTACGCAGATACGCAGCTTATCTGGAGCTCTGGGTATATCATAGGGCAGGAACATATAGGCTAGTGGGCACTATAAATTTTATACAGGAAAATACTAGAGAATCTGCATAAGCTGGTGGTTAAACAGTTTCTGTTATTATTCACATGATTTTACACCAATATAAGTTACAATGTAATGTATCGTATGTGCATGATGGAAGGCTGGCTAAAAAGATCCATAACTGGAATTATCGTTGATGGGAAGAAATGGTAACGATTATTGAAATGAAAAAAATGTCATCGATACTATCTTACATAAACTATTATGATGGAATAAAGTTTTAATTACCCGAAGCAGACATGTTTTTGACAAAGAAGGAAAGCAAATGATATTGTTATATCTTAAATATCCACAAAGAAATCCATGCATGAATGTGTTAGGTGATGAGAAACATGTTGTTTTCTCTCTCAGCTTTTTGAATATTTGCTCAACATGCTCAAAGCTGCTTCTCCGATATTTATCTATACTTGATGGATATTTAGTTAACGATAATCGATCTCTATGATCTATATTGATTGCCAGCCCTAGTGGTATGTACAGTAAACTACGGTTATAACGAACTTGAGGGGACCACTAGGTTTAGTTCGTAATAACCGTAGTTCGTTATAAGCATACATACAGCATATAAACAACAAATGGTCGGGACTAAAAAATAAGTTTGTTATATCAGTCAGTTTGTTATAAACGTGTTCGTTATAAACGTAGTTTACTGTATCGCGATACATGGGCCTCGTATCGGGATACAGTACTGTATTACTGTATTGTTACATCACAAGGCCGACATTTATAGCTTGATAACATTGCTGCCATGGAAAACAATATTCACTCACTCAATGATCATCAGAATTTTTAGTCAACCATGGTCAGAACACTTTCAACCTACATCCATGATTAACAGTGAATATCCAATAAGGTCATCATTCTATTACAGTAAATACCCTACATGTATTGGCCACCGAAACTTCGGTTTGAGTCAAGTTCAAAAGAAACAATGCTGTTCTATCGTAATTAAAACAAGTGTTGATATTACAGTGCTCAAGCACAAGCCTTTTTAGCGAAATTCATGCATATTCATATGTGAGTTGTGAAGTCCTTGTCTGGTGTCCGCTGCCATGATATTGCTGGAATATTGCTAAAAGCGTCATCAAACCATACTCACTCTTTCAGGTAAGACTAGCTAATCGTAACTAAGTTTACCATGTGGTCAGGTGACTTGGTTTATTGCATGTCAGGGTGGTGGGTAGCCTGGTGGTTAAGGCGTTCCCTCATCATGCCAAAGATGCGGGTATTTTTCCCAAAATGGGTGTATAGTGTGAAGCCCTTTTCTGGTGTCCCCCGCCGTGATATTGCTGGAATATTGCTAAAAGCAACATAAAATTGACTCACTCACCCATTGATTGTGTGTCATTGTACCTCCATGGACTGCGACATTGCTCATAAAATTACTGGTTTGTCTGGTCCAAACTTGACTATTTACACGCTGCTGTGATATAGCTTAAATATTGCTGACTGCAGCATTAAGCATCAAAGGGAAAATTTAATAAATGTTTATTACGTTTCATACAAACTTTTACTTTCCTTCCAGGAATCTCCTCAGCCGGTCCATGAAGAGAGCCCCAAGCCTATAGCCCAATCAAAACCAGTATTAGCCTCTAAGCCTGCAGCTCACCCTGTGCCCCAGGCCCAGCCCACCATGGCCACGCCCATCATCCAGCCACAAGCCATGATGGGGCAGCAGCTTCCAGGACAACCAGCATTTGTACAAAGTAAGCACCATGCTGGGAACTGACTGGTCCCCGGAGGGATTCCGGGTTAGAATTGGTCCCTAGCAACCTATGGTGGTCGTTAGAGGTGACCAAATGGATCAGTGGTCTATCTTGGTGGCTTGGTTTATACATTACATGTCATCATATATTGTGTAGATCGATGCTGGTGATGTCAGTCACTGGAATGTCTGGTCCAGACATGATTATCTACAGGCTGCCATCATAGAGCTGTAAAATGACAAACATGTAACTGGCAGTACCATTATACTTTTTTTAGAGGGGGGGGGATCTTTTTCATTTGTATTTGCCTTTCTTAAGAAGGTGTTATATTTTCATAATTGTTTTACCGATTGAGTCCCTAAATTTCACAAATGCAAATGAAAATAAAAATAGAAATTTAGAAAACTTTTGTTTTCTTCCTGTTGTAAGTCTGTTACTTATTTTAGTATTGACAAAAATGAAAGTAGAATAATGTGGTAATAGGATATCCTTCACTTTCTTTTCATTCACTTTTTCTGTATTTCAGCTGAGGTTGATTGAAGAGTTAATTTTGTAAAAGACGTGTTTTTATGAGTTAGTTTTGTTTGTTTTTTACCACCAGCCAAATGATTTGAGGGAAAAATCTGTAAAACTAATAATTAATTAAGAAGGAGTAAATAAATGGACCAAGTCTGCATACAGGAACAAAAAACACATTATGAAATGAGGCACGTGGTATTGGTGTTCTGGGATGATGCCTATTACCTCCTAAACATCAGTGTGTAGGAGTACTGTTTGAACTCCTATAACAGATCTGACCGCCTCCGTGGTCTAATGGTAGAGCGTCCGCCCAGAGAGCGGAAGGGCCAGGGTTCGATCCCCAGCTGAGTCATACCAAAAGACGTTAAAAGATGGTACTTGTTGTTACCCTGTCTGGCGCTCGGCATTAAGGGGCTAAAACAAGGACTGGTCGGCTCGGAGTCAGTATGCTGTGTCTGAGTGGGGTATTCATGTTAAACTGCGGCATGGTTTCTCAGTGTGCTAGCACTCTTAATTGGCATCAGTCCGGACTAGTACAAGCAGCCACACACACACACATACACGTGCATGCACGTCGCTATATAAGTGCAATAATCTTGGACGCAACGTTAAACCCCATTTCACCTCACCTATTACAGATCTACCTGGGGCCCAGCAACTAGCAGTCTTCCAACCCACCAACCTTCTCCAGCAACAGCAACAGCAAGCAGCAATGCTAGCAATGCAGCAGCAACAACAGGCGGCAAACATGTCTGTAAGTCAACTTTCAAAATGATATTGATATGTAAGTTTGTATAGGTCTACTGCCACAAGCTCTGGTTTAAGATTTTTACCTTGTTAAGGGATCATTGAACATTTTATTTACATTCTAAACTCCCGGGGGCGTATACAAGTACAACATCTCATCCTACCGGGTACCCATTTGCTGCTGGATGAACATGATTCACTGTATTATGCATGCCATGCACTTAGAAAATTGACAAAGGGTGGAGGGTGTGGGGGGTTATTAAACCATATACATCTATTTAAATTTGTTGTCAGAGATGAACGGTAGTGAAAAACTTATTTCAAAAGTCAATGAAACTAAACAATTTTGATACTTGGTTCGTTTGTTTACCGCACTCAGCAATATTACAGCTATATGACGCCGGTCTGTAAAATAATCGAGTCTGGACCAGACAATCCAGTGATTGATATCATGAGCATCCATGCACTCAATTGGGATCGATGACATGCATCAACCAAGTCATCAAGCCTGAAATTTTTAAACTAGTTTCTAGGTAATCATATTTCCTTCCTACACTTCTGTTTTCAGTTAATAAGTTGTAATATACACAAGAAAATATGTGTCTTGTCGGGTTCAATGATAGTGTTGAACCTGATAAAGCTTACATACAGATTGGGCTAGAAGTTGGTCAGGGGCCACTTATTGGAACAGGTCTCTTAACATGATTGATGGAATATTGCCGCAGTATAAAACAACTTCCCTCTCTGTTCCAGGCATTCCAGCCCCCAGCGTACCAGGCAGGAGTGCAGCAGCCATACCCAGGTACACTGGTCCCCCATACTCAGCATGATGAATAGCACCTGTATGACCGGGCCAAGGGATAGCTGACTATCAGACTCACATTGTTCCCCCATGTTTTGAGTTCAAGCATCAAGCACCTTCTGTTGATATTGTACACATCTAACTCTTCTTTACTAAAACAGACCTCAGGGTGTTAGAAACTAAATATTAGTCACAGATGAATTCTGCACTTCTGAAATTTACAGAACAATTGCAGAAAATGTAAATTCAACCACGGAATTGCCTAAAATTTGCAGAATTTGCCTTTTTTGATCAATCAGTTCACTGGTTTTCATTATTTTTCAAGCTTTTCTATCGAATATTGCTCTCAAATGATGCCCAAACATTTAACATGTGATTCAAACAAACAAATCATGAATCCTACAATACAAAATTTGAAACAAATAATTCTTGTCGTATTGTGACCCCATCAACTATGTTTACCATAATGCAAGAGATTTAATTTTTTAAAGAAACAATATGACTTTGTATTAATATTTGAGGGGGAAACGGTTGATTTTACCGCAGAATTAAACTAAGAACTTTGTAATTTTAGCCACAGAATTTTGGTAATTTTACTGCAGAATTCGTCTGGGACTAAAATATTAAGTTGTAAGATAAAATTCATAGATCTCAATTTGCTGGTTTTTATATCATTTCTACCCCTATTTGTTGCTGACGATATTCTGTTTTACGCAAAGATGATATTGTGTTGTTGTGTGTTTATCACTGATCACTTTGAGGTTCTGTTATTAATAATGGTCTACACAGCCTAACCACCATATCACCTTGCCACCACTCCACCACACCACCACACCACCACACCACCTCTCCACCACACCGCCACACCGCCACACCGCCACACCACCACACCACCTCTCCACCACACCACCACCACACCACACCACCTCTCCTCCACTTCACCATACTTATAAGCAAAGGTCTCGAACTTTCAACAGCTCCCTAGCCTTGAATTGCAAGGGAAAAACGTATGAAGTTCTTATAGAGGGACCTCACACAGCGAATAGGTTGATTGTGGGGATGATATGCAAGGATGTTTGAATTTCTTTTCTCCATTTTTTAAATAAATAATTTGCTGTTCTAAAGCTGAAATATTGCTGATACAACATTACATTTCATCTCTCTCAATTGCCTGGTTACCTAATGTTACCCTGACACACAAAATCTAGGCTTACTCATTTGTTCCTTCTTGATCTCTCCAAGGGACAATAGGGGTGGTCGGGTAGCCTAGTGGTTAAAGCGTTCACTCGTCATGCCGAAGACCTGGGTTCGATTCCCGACATGGCTACAATGTGTGAAGCCCATTTCTGGTGTCCCCCGCCGTGATATTGCTAGAATATTGCTAAAAGCGGCGTAAAACCGTACTCACTCACTCACCCAAGGGACAATGGGGTAGCCTTGTGGTTAAAGCGTTCGCTCATCATACAGAAGGCCTGTGTTCGATTCCTCACCTGGGTACAATGTGTGAAGCCCATTCTGTTGTCCCCTGCCATAATATTGCCAAAATATTGCTAACAGTGTCATTAACCCATACTCACTCCATGATCTCTCCCTTAAAAAGCATTTGAAATCATAAAACAAATGTCATTATGAAACCCAGCTTATCCTAAATTATTCAAACAAATAATGCTTCTTCCCAAGCACAACACTGTGATTGGCTAAAATATTCCCATGTAACCTCCTTCCAACCAATGACAACCCTCCAACCACCATGCTGCTTTGCACTGACTAATTCTTTCTCCTTCAACATAGGGTTGTTGTTTGCAGGGGCTCCGCCAGCTCAGCCCGGCTCCACAGGCTCCATGGACAGCCTGGCTCCCGTCCTGCTCACAGAGACCCGACAACAGAACACAGAGATACGACTGTCAGTCAGCAAGATCTCAGACAAAGTTGACAGGATCCTGGATAAGGTTAGCCTTCTTTCTTGTGGTGCACAAGATTCCAAACTGTTAAAAACTAGAACTGATATTAAACATGGGAAGTGTCTGTGTTCATGTACAAGATCTCAGACAAGTAGACCATCGTCTTGACGAGGTTATTTTTTGTGTTCCAAGTTAGTCTTCATCTTTGTCTTCAAGATGAAGACAAAGAAGACTTCTTTCTAAACAAGGTTAGTCTTTGTCCCTATTGTGAACAAGATCTCAGACAAGTAGACCAGAAGTTAGAAATGGTTAGTGTTCCCACTCATGCACAATAGCTTTTGAAAAAGAAGACCAAATTGTTTATAAAGTTAGTCATTGTTTGTCTTTGTCCTCATCATGCTGATGGTGAACATGATCTGAAGATAAGGTATTCTAGATTCTACACAAAGTTGGTCGTTTAGAAACTTCTAGCTTCTAGAAACGCATCTTCCAACTCATGAATTTGATTTCAGATAAGATAAGGTGTGATCGTAATCTTCTGATCATTGTGAACATGATATCATACAAAGTAGGCTGGATTCTAGACAAGTTTAATCTTGATTTCAGGAAGAACCTTCCTATTTATTTATCATAACCCATGTTTTCTCATTCTGACACTCCCCTCTGGGAATCCAGGGCCCACTTGCACAAAGCGATCTTAGCGCTAAGACTATCGAAAGCCTATGTTAAAGTATGGAAGTTACAATCATCTTAGCGCTAAGATCACTTTGTGCAAGTGGGCCCAGGTCAGAACTAATCCGCTGCAACCTATGTTGGTCACAAGAGGCAACCAAATGGATCGAGTGATCAGAGGCGATGACTTGATTGGTTGTGTGTTATCATACCCCGAAGATGTGGATCGTTCACTCCAATCAATCATTGGTTTGCTGGTCTAGACTTGATTATTTTACAGGCTGCAATCATATAGCTGGAATAGTGCTGTGTCTGGCATTAAGCAAAAAGCAAACAAGCAAACAATTTTTTTTACTCTTTGAGTTTGGATATATTCCCCACAAAATCACATTTAGGAATTTAGCAACAACCGTTTTAATTTTGTGGGTGTGCATGGACTTGGGGTCATTCTGCCGGGTACCCATATACTGCTGGATGGATGCACATGTTTGAAGTATTTGATGCTGTTTTCAGGTGGCTGTTATAGGACCAGGAGCTGGTATGCCAGGAGCACTTCAGCCCATGCATGCTCCCACCATGGAGACTGGCGTCCTGCTACAGAATATCACTAGGATAGTACAGGTAAGATCTTAAACAATCAGAACTGAACGGGCAGCTCCCTAGTACCTAATGAATGTTGTAAGAGGCTAGCTGAATTTCCATAAGTTGCAATGTGTTACTAAGCTGATTGTCTTTGATAAGCATTTAGAAGTTGGGAGAATGAATGCGTGAGTTGGGTTTAACGCTGCTTTTAACAGTATTACAGTTATATCGCGGCGTGTCAGTTTTATATTGGAGGAAAGCCCGAAGTGATTCAGGTCTCAAGAGTTTACCACTTCGGTGAAACCCACAAGCACGGGTATGGTGCTAACAAACCTAGAAATATAATCGGGGCGAACCATGATTCGAACCCACAATCATAGGTTTCTAGCTTGCCCATGGGACGCAATTCTGCACAGCGAGTGGCAGCGCCTTAGATGACTGAGCCACCCGTGCCCCTTAGAAGTTGGGAGAACATGAATACATGTATTTTATGTATAGCAACTTCTTTTATTCTTTGTACAATGTTTCAGAAACGTCATACAAAGAATGAAAGATGTTGCTATCCATGAAAAATGGTCACGTATTCATAGGCTGCTTGTGTGTATCAGTTATTGTTGCCTGTGGGGATTCCAGGTTAGAATCAGTCCTCGGGCAGTTTTGGAAGGAAAACAAATTGTCTGGCTGCACTCAGGACCCACATACAAAAGAAGTTGCAGACCATGACTAAACTATTCAGGCCCTCTTGCAGCTTATTGTGACCAATATACATCGACACATAAACTTACTGCAGGCCATTAAGGACCCATACAGATTTGAACCTACCGTATTCGACATAATAAGCGCCAGGGCGCTCTCAAAATTAGAAATAGGGGGCTCTTACTAGAATATAATTTTGGTGAAAGAATCGAAAGATCGTAAATTTTATGGTTTATGCTGACAGCCTGAAATGATACAAAAGAAAAGTCTGTGCGTATTATACATGACAGAATTTCCAGAATTTAATTGCCCGTAAGTAAGGGTGTATATAACACGCGAGTGCATATTATACACAAATAAATAAGTCTTGTGTACATTGATCAATCGGAAAGGGTGCTAATTGGGATTGTTCACTTGCCAATATATTAGCAAATATCGCTGTGGGCGCTTATTAGAGCAGGGCGCTTATTACTGGTACGTTGAATACGGTAAGGTCCCGATGCAGGGACCTCATGCTTGACATCTAAGCTAATGGAGACTTGGTGTCAGACTCTGTGACTTGGTTGATTATGGGCCATTATTCTCCAGTGCTGTGGATTATAGTACAAGCCATCAACCACTGGTTGACCGTCTTATTGACAGGCTTAGATCACTACCTCTTCAAAGTGATCTTCACTGCCACCTCCACCAAGTGATCTACCTGTGTGAGAATTATTGGTTAGACTTGACCCCTAGCAACTTATGCTGGTCGTACATGGTTGCAACATGTATTGGGTGGTCACTCTGTGACTTAGTTCATTGCCCGTCCTCTGTGAGATGTTGATCATAATATCAATCACCGGTTCAGAATTGATAATCCACAGTCTCGTATAGCTGGAGTATTGCTGAGTGGGGCATTAAAAAATGAAAATAAAAATAATCATGTTACTCGTAGCATGATTTTAGACTTTCAGGGTATTTTTGTTTAATTTTGAATGCCTTTCTCTTGTTTTCAGGAAAATGAAACTTTAAAGAAAGATGTTTATGAAAAAAGTGGCAAAATTGAAACTCAAAATGAAAAGATTGCAGAACTTCTGCAGAAAAATCAGAAGTAAGTAGAAACATGTCAATAAAATACTGAGGTACGATTTTCTTCCTCTGAGAGACTAATTTGGATGAAATGTGTAGCAGTAATTTCTTGGAATCAGTTTGAAAGAGAACAATTCTTGCAATCAAGAACAAATTCTAGACTTTTCTCTGATTGAATTGAAACTAAACAACTAAATGTTGCTGACCAAACATGAAACCTACGTTCTACAATCAACTATCATTCCTTGAGTATTAGCAAAAGATAACTGACTTTCCAGAGTTTACAAGTCATAATATTTGTTACACAAAGTTGCTTCACAAAACGATCTCACCCCTTTAATTATCTTAACTCTCTTTAAAAATATCAAGTTTTACTCTGACGAACCCTCCACGCAACGTTGATCTTTGAACACAATCAATACCTCTGGGCTTTATGTACCAGACTACATCACTAATCCCTGTGTTGTGTAGTTTGTCATGCTTTCTTGGGCTTGATGTCATCAAACTGTGGGTACTTCAAGATTATGAGCACATTCCTGTTATGTTTACAGCAATACATCATTCATTTTGTAAAACAGTCATCAGAAATGTGAGATTTTATATATTTTAGCAGGCTGTTGGGTAGTCTAGTGGTTAAAACGTTCGCTCGTCAAGCCGAAAACCTGGGTTCGATTCCCGACATGGGTACAAAGTGTTAAGCCCATTTCTGGTGTCCCCTGCCGTGATATTGCTGAAATATTGCTAAGAGCGGCATAAAACCATACTCACTTACTATTTATTTATTTATCCTAGTTTATGCATCTCAGTTTCAACTTTGATAAATTTATGGGACCAGGGTGCAACCTACCCAGTTTTGTCTGGTGCAGCTAGGGTTTTATGTCAGCCTGCACCTGGTGCAAGTTAAATCAAGTTCTTTTAGTAAAGCCCTGCCCCCCACTCATATTATTTTTAAGGGAAAGGGGGCGGTCGGGTAGCCTAGTGGTTAAAGCGTTCGCTCGTCATGCCGAAGACCCGGGTTCGATTCCCGACATGGGTACAATGTGTGAAGCCCATTTCTGGTGTCCCCTGCCATGATATTGCTGAAATATTGCTAAGAGCGGCATAAAACCATACTCACTTACTATTTATTTATTTATCCTAGTTTATGCATCTAAGTTTCAACTTTGATAAATTTATGGGACCAGGGTGCAACCTACCCAGTTTTGTCTGGTGCAGCTAGGGTTTTATGTCAGCCTGCACCTGGTGCAAGTTAAATCAAGTTCTTTTAGTAAAGCCCTGCCCCCCACTCATATTATTTTTAAGGGAAAGGGGGCGGTCGGGTAGCCTAGTGGTTAAAGCGTTCGCTCGTCATGCCGAAGACCCGGGTTCGATTCCCGACATGGGTACAATGTGTGAAGCCCATTTCTGGTGTCCCCTGCCGTGATATTGCTGAAAATTGCTAAAAGTGGCGTAAAACCATCCTCACTCACACACTTTAGGGGAAAGTGTGTACAGTAAACTACGTTTATAACAAGCACGCTAATGACCAACTGACGGATATAAGAAACTGTTTTTTTGGGTCCCAGCCATTTGCTGTATATTTGCTTATAACGAACTGCGGTTCTAAGGAACTAATATTAGTGGTCCCTTTGAGTTTGTTATATATAAACTTAGTTTACTTTATTTTGCTTAAGAAGATAAAATATGGTATTCAATGTGATTTGATTTGTGGCAAATTAAAAATGGCTGGGGCTGCATTATTGACTGACCTGCTTCAAGAGTACAGGGACTGACTGTCTGTTGTTGTGTGTCAGGTTTGTGGAGCAGAGCAACACCCTCCTGGAGGAGCGGAACGAGGGCTACAAGTATTCCGCCAACCAGTCCCAGGCCAGAGTGCTGTCTCTTGAACAGGAGAAGGTAAGCCCACCCACTCTCATACAGTCAAGGGGGGTCGGGTAGCCTAGTGGTTAAAGCGTTCGCTCATCACGCCAAAGACCCGGGTTCGATTACCGATATGGGTACAATGTGTGAAGCCCATTTATCGTGTCCCCCGCCATGATATTGCTGGAATATTGCTAAAAGGGGCGTAAAACCATACTCACTCACTTATACAGTGAAAACGTCGAGATTAGTAGTTGAGGTGAGGTTAAGTGGGTTTAGCATAGCGTTCAAAATTATTGCACTTTTTTAGTGAAATGCAGGCGCTTGTGTGTGGCTGCTTGTACTAGTCTTATGCCAGTTTTGTAGTGCTATCCCTCAGAGCCAACCTGTCCTAACTTTATCTTCTTACTGTCGAGCGCCAGGCAGGGTAACAACAGATTGCATCTATTAACTTCTTTTGATATGAGACCTGTGAAGATCCGGGGTAGAACAGGTCTTCAGCAACCCATGCTTGCCGTAAAAGGCGACTATGCTTGTTGTAAGGGTGGTCAGGCTCGCTGACTTGGTTGATGCATTTCATCGTATCCCAATTACGTGGATCGATGCTCATGATGTCAATCACTGGATTGTCTGGTCCAGACTTGATTATTTACAGACCGCCATCATATAGCTGGAATATTGCTGAGTGCGGTGTTAAACAACAAACATCACATCTTTTGATGTGACGTGGCCTGGGATCAAACCACCAACTTCCACTCTCCAGGTATCCAGGTTGACTCTCGATCCACTTGACCACAGAGGTGGTCTCCATCATAAATTTGCAGATTAACAAATCATTGATATGTAGTATCCATTATTATTAATTGTCATTGAAATGTGATGGATGATTAGTTTCCAATTTAACAGGGTCTGGATTAACAAGGTTTCACTCTATATTTATTCTGGAGCAAAGTCAGGCAAGATACTTCCAGCTTGGATTCCATCAACGGGCTCAAATGTTTGATTTAATTAAACTTGTAATATTCAACTAAGATGGGTCAGGTTGCCATGCTCATGACATGATTGATTGTCATCATAGCCCAATTCCATGTGACCTTGCTCATAATATCAACCCTGGTTTGACTGATCCAGAATCGATTATTTTCAATCCATCACGATTTAGCAAGAATATTGATGAATGTAGCATAAACAATTTTCCCCATTGTTGTTTTAATCACATGACGTCTGTCGCTGCAGGTAAATCTATCCACTGAGCTGAGCACGTTATCAGCACAACTGAGCAGCCTGCAGCTCGAACTGGCCACTAGCAGAAAATCAGAAGCAGAAATGAAGCACAAACTCCAGTCCTCCGCAGACTCCCGGATACAAACACAGGACGAGATGGATCGGCTCAAGCTGCAGAGAGCTGGTAAGTGTTTGTGCAATTGACACAAATTCATCCGATAAGTTACTATTGGGTCTGGCTTTGAACCCATTCGTCACCACTCGCTCCTTTCAGTAATCTGCATGAAAACTTGTCCCACTATCAATGAATGAAAATACGACAAACCAGTCAGCATGCGCGTATGACTTCAAGTACTTCGCTCAAAGAATCCCTCAGGAATAATATTTGCGTTTACGTATGTGTTGCATTTAAAAATATACCCAAGATACAGTTAAATGTGTTCAATCATACTGTATTATAATGTATGTCATGGTGTGTTTTAAATGGCATCTTGAATATATATGATGTATAGGGGAAATATTCGTGAATCCTTAAACGAGTTGACAATTCTTTTATCTATGCCTGTTTACGCTTAGACAAAACCCAGTCGCAAAAATGGCAACAAGAGTGTCACGAGTCGCTATTCGGCTCGTCCCAGAATAACAGGATTTGGTCCCAAATGGAATGGAACCCTAAATTGCTGAAGACATGTTATCATGTATCATAACACGTCCCTGTTATCAAGATACTGATAGTATTGCAACAAATCTGTATCCTAGATTTACAGCCCTTGTTGAGTTTTTGATTCACAGGACATCGACCAACTGAACAAAACACATTCTAATGAATAATGTCAGTTAAAAAGATGAAAAAGAACTGTCAACCCATCAGTTGTTGTTTTTTGTTCACTCGCTGACCAGCTATAGTGTGTGCACCTGTTCTCAAGCATGGGCGGGAAGATCAAGAGAGATAGCTCACGTATTCACTTTGCTTTGTGGTCCAGTGCACACAGCACAGGTTACAAATCAGATGAAGTTAAGCAACGTCGGTCGCAGAGAGTCCTTGGATGGGTGACTGCGTTTCGGCAGCTTGGCTCCTGAGATTTTCTAGGCTTCGGTCCTGCCCCACACTGAAGCACATGTAGCACATGTGGTGTCTCCTTGCGCAAGTGACTTTTTTTCAAAATGTGCTTCTGTTCACCCAGCAGTAAATGGGTACCCGGTGGGATGAGATGGCAATGTGGTTGTTAACCTACTAGCGCCTCACAGGCAGCTTGGGTTGTATACTCCCCAGGGAGATTAGAATGATTCTAATGCACACTGGGCCAGTGACAAGGTAATAATAACGCCTTGAGCTTGCCCCTGAGTGGTGCGGAAGAAAGCACAATCTAAATAGCCTATTATTATTGGTGACTTTGAAGAGAAACGGTATCTCAAGGCATTTTGACTTACACAATGTTATTTAAAAAAAGACTCAAGTGTCAATCTGGTACTTGAGTCTAGATCAGGTTTTAGCACGAACACTCAAATCCATTTTTGGGGGCGACCAGAGCCCTAGTGTGTATCTCCCTTTTTCAAAATCCTGGATCTGCCTCTTGGCAAAGTATCGTATCCTTTGAATATCCTCCCTCTATTACACCGTAGCCATAAATTCCTTGTTGGGCATTAATCACACTATAAAAATCTTTAGGTTTTTCAACAGACGTCCTCTTCACTGCCAACTGTCTAATTAGTTTTGAGGTAAACCCTGTCCTAAGGCTCAATGATGACTGTTGTTTGATGTCCAGATGATGAGAAGCGTGTCGAGGACCTGTCCACAACGCTACGGGAGGAGAAGAAGTACAGGAAGAATCTAGAGGGTCAACTGAACAACGTGCAGGAAGAACACGCCGACCTCAAGTCTGCCTACAACTCAATGGAGAAGGTATTCATCTACTTCACTATTCAAGCATTGGGCAATGGTGCCCAGTCGTCTAAGGCAACACAATTTGCTATGCAGAGTTGCTTCCCTTTGATGATTGTTGTTTGAGTCTCTGATTGTCTCTATTCTGATTCTTGGTTTGTCTGCACTTTCCCAAGCTTGTGGATTTAACCACAGTGGTGACGGGTAAAGATCTGCATCACTGCGGGTTTTCCTCCCACATGTAGCTGACAAGTCGTGATATAACAGGAACACTGTTCAAAGTGTCATTGTATCACCTGTCTCTCTCCTTCAGGCCACACATTTTTCAATCTCATTAAAATCAGACCTTAGTTCTCGCTACCGCTAACAAGGATCTGAAGACATCCCATTAGGAGTCACGTCAGAACGACCTATCATCCGACCAATCAGAGCGTCGCTTACCAGATTTTGAAAGTGACAGTCAGAATGTGATTAGTAATCATGCAACCTCGAAAACTTTAACATAGGGTATTCCGAACGATAGTTACAGCTTAACGACTAAATTCTTACAATCTAGACCATCTATTAGCCATTCCAGAATGGGTTTTTTGGTTCAGGTTTCAAATTTGTAATCGAGAATTTGTCAAAATATGTTTCGAAGCGTAGTCGCCAATTTGAAATTAGTGCCGTAAAGCACGAGAAAGCTGCCTTCTGATTGGTCATTCCATTGGTCGGTCAAAGTTCGTACAAGGTCGGTCTGACGTGACCCGTAACGGATCGATGTCCTCAGATCTTTGTTTAGCAGCAGCGTGAACTAAGATCTGATTTTAATGAGATTGCACATTTTTAATTTTATGTTTCACTAGCTGTTCCTCACAAGGTCAGTCGAAAAAATAATAAGAATAAACATCAAGTATTTATTTAGTTATATGAAAGTCATTCTGCTGTGGAGTTAAGACTGCAGCTGGCTTCTTGAATCACAGATAGTGATGTAGACATGGAATATATATATAACATGTAATATTGTATAACAGCGTCTGTATTAGTAATGGAGATAATAAAAAATATAAATTTTAAATTTTTTTCTTAGACCGACTACTTTTCAGTAGGGCAGTGGGCCCATGAAACGAAAAATATAAAATGTGTGGCCTTAATAAAATAATTAAACAGGAGTGGATGAATCCCATAATTCTTTGTTTGTCAGCACCATATCAACACACACGGATTTCATATTTGGCATTCCGTGCCATTATAAAACTGAAATAGTGCTCTCAGCAGAACTAAACTTAATACACTCACTACTATTCAAGTGTTTGCCATAACCTTGTGTGAGCACATTTGTCATACATCATCATATGTAAAGATAAGAAGTCAGTGAGACAGGAGTATCCAGGGGGTTCTATCCTGTAGTACCTATGTTTGTTTGTTTGTTTGTTTGTTTGTTGTTTAATGCTGTACTCAGCAAAATTCCAGATATATGACAGCAGTCTGTAAATAATCATGCCTGGACCAGACAATCCAGTGAATCCATCATGAGTATCGATTTCCACAATTAGGATACAATTACATTCAAGTGACCAAGTCACCAATCCTCTTATGACAAGCATGGGTTGCTGAGGACCAATTCTAACCCAGATCTTCTAGTGGTGGTACGATACACCGATGCATTTGTGGATCACAGTTTTTGTCCTTCTCGATACAAGTATTGATCACAGTCGCACACTAAGTAAAAAACATCAATTCCTACCTTAGATGAATGCTTCAATAATTGTTACACCAAACACTAATTACTAGTGAAAATTAGTAGCGAAAACATAAATATTTTCATCCATTGTGCCATACATGACACCCGCCAACTGTGATATGAAAAAATGACTTTATGAAAAAATGACTTTCTCACCATGATACTTATCTGATGGTGAGCAAGGTATCGTGATATGTATTGGATCACACAGTAGGTGTATCTCCCCTTCACCAGCATCTTCAGAGGGGTATTAATACCAAAGTGACCCACAGCAGGTTGTAAGAGGTGGCTAAACTGGATCCAGTTTTCAGGCTCTGTGACTTGGCTGATTGAGTGGATCGGTGCTCATGCTATCAGTCACTGGTTTGTCTGATACCATCTTGATTGTCTACATGCCAGGTGATGATGCTGGAAACTGCTGGCTGCCATGTGACACGAACTCTATTCACTCACTAACTCACTCCCCTCGGGTTAGAATTCATCCACAGCTACCTATGCTGGTCGTAAGAGGCGAGGACGGTCAGGTAGCCTAGTGTTTAAACTGTTCGCTCGTCACGCCGAAGACCCGGGTTCGATTCACGACATGGGTACAATGTCTAAGAGGCGACCAAATGGATGATGTGGTCAGGATCGGTGACTTGGTTGATTACATGTCTACATACCCCAGTGGCATAGATCATTGTGAACAATATCATTCGCTGGATTGTCTGGTTGAGACTGTTTTCAGACCTCCATCATGTAGTTGGAATATTGCTGAGTGTGGCGTTAAGAAACAAACAAACAAACAAACACTAACTCATTAGTTTTCCTGATGATTGTAACATGTGGAATGTTGTCTGTTAGAATCTGAACGAGAGAAAGAGGAAGGCTAACGAGGAGAGGCGAAAACATGAGGACGAATTGGAAGACATGAAGATCAATTTAGAGGTAAAAATAATTTTCTTTTCTATAAATTAGAATTATTATTCCTGATATACGATCTATGAATGAAAACAATTCGGCTTATAATCTTTATCAAGACATAGTCAACTCATTAAGCAGACTTTAGAGCTTCGGATAAGCAGTGTCTCAGTGAAAATCACCATCACCCAATTACTTCTGGATTGCTTGCATACAAATACCGTATTCAACGTAATAAGCCCTCCGTTCTAATAAGCGATATTTGCTAAAATATTGGCTAGTGAACAATCCCAATTAGCACCCCTTCCGATTGATCAATGTACATAGGACTTATTTATTCGTGTATAATACGTATGTTATATGCATTCTTAATTATGGGAAATTAAATTCCGGAAAAAAATATATCAGTTGTATATAAACATTTCAGGCTGTCAGCATAAACCACGAAATTTACGATCTTTCAACTCTGATGTTTTTCACCAAAATAATATTAGAATAAGAGCCCCCTATTTCTAACTTTGAGAGCACCCTGGGCGCTTATTAGGTCGAATATGGTACCCATAAACAAAAGCAGTGCTGTGAGTAATTACTGTATCCAGTGTAGCAGGGACTTTGAAAGAAACAGCTCACAGAAGTTCAGCATGGCCTCCATGGCAGAGCAACATTGAAAATGTCAATCTTGCCGCTTTATTTCACTTTTTTGTAATGAAATTTTGTTGAGTAACATGTAATACATTTTGTAACGTCAGTGTTAGAAATCGTCATTAGTCCTATAGTCCTTGCCAAACTGCCCAATAGATAAGGTATCATAAGGACTAGTACAAATTTGCCATTTTTAAGGGTTTTGCTATCATTATAAGGGCTAGTGGACTGAAACTGTTAGTTTCTACTGCTGAACGTATTTGTAAATTTGACAGTACTTCAACCAATCAACCAGCTATGCATGTATCAATATTTAATATACGTGCAATGATGACGTCTGCTCTGTGTAATGACTGTTTTAATACTTTTCCCTTGTATTGATCTCATTTAGGATAATCTTGCAGAAAGATTCAAGTGAGCTACAGTGCCTTGTGGCACTCAATCAAGATGATTCATATGACGATTGCAACAACACATACACACTGCCAGGCAGAAGTCCATTACAATAGCTGGTCATTGTCCTGGATTGCTAAACAATGGCTGTATTTTCAGGGTGACATCCAGTCTTTACGAGACCGGCTGCGTAAACAGAAGACAAACGTGGACGTAGAAGCTGCTGATAAGGTAGGCCACTGCAATGTACACTCACCTCAACTAGTGGACTAACTGGAAGGGTCACCCACATAAACACCCCCACCCCCCATTCAGTCCAAAATCCAAAAATAAGCCAGAAAGGTCAGGTTTTCTTTGGAATGTTTTTGTTTCCCAGTTTGAAAAATGAGACGATGTTATGATCAGCCTGTTCATCCGTCCGCCGTCTGTTTTCCATTTCCATGCAGAACTCCAAAACTGTTGAATATTTCTTGATGAAACTTTCTATACAGATCAGTCTTATTGGGAACTGGTGCCTTTTGATGATTTGGGATTTTATTGTGTTTTTTGTGTGTTTTTTTCATGATTTTTTATGATGGAAAGAAGTTGTTGTTTTCATGATGACAAGTTGGACATGAGGGTAATGGTCGTTTCCATGCAAAACTCCAAAACTTTTGAATATTCCTGGATGAAACTTGCTGCACAGATCAGTGTAATGGTGAACTGGAGTTTTTTGACAATTTTGAATTTTGAAAAATACCGAACAGCATTATATTTTTCTTTTAATAGTGAAATGAAGGTATCCAATGGCAACCAACTAAAAGTGGGGTATAAGTAGCCAAACACCATTTCCGAATTGCACCAGACCAGGGGGAAATGTCATCTGATGACTCTTGCAATTGGGTGATTTTCCTTTACGAAAGGTGCAGTGTATCAGTAAAAGTGTCTTTCAAAGGAACAAAATGACTGATTTTGTGACTCTATAGTGAAGTGCAAGAGGTTTTCCTTATTGGCAATAAATATGGACAGTACGAGGATAGTGATAAACACTATTCAAGACAAATGAGGGAAAGGTGAAGGGTTGGTGGCTCCAGATTAGGGGCATTCGTGAAAACAGAAAAACACATATATATTTTTTGGCCTGAGAACCCTTGGGATAGACAGTGTTTATTCAGCACCAGTATTGAAGGATCTTCCATGCAATTGGGGGCACGGGTGGCCCAGTCGTTTAAGGCGCTGTGATTCGCTGTGCAGAATTGCGTCCCTTGAGCACGCCAGAAATATATGGTTGTGGGTTCGAATCCCTGTTTGCCCCGATTATGTTTCTAGGTTTGTCAGCACCAAACCTGTGCTCGTTGGTTTCACCGAAGTGGTAAACGTCTCAGACCTGCATCACTTCAGGCTTTCCTCCCACATTAAGCAGACACGCCGTGATATACCTGGAATACTGTTAAAAGCGGCATTAAACCCAACTCACTCACTCACTCACTCATTCACTCACTCACTCACTCACTCACTCACTCACTCACTCACTTACTTGCAATGGTGCTGTACTACATGATTTATACATGTATTTTGTATTCAAAAGACCTTGTATTTGACAGTCTGGCTTTGGAGAGGTGTTCAGTATGAATCTTACTGGAGAGGCCTTAACATTTGATCAAATGCCTTGAACTGACAACAGCGGTTAGATAATGTTGTCAGAGTGGAATAAGCCTTGCTCAGTCAGTCGCCAGTATACTCATGTCCTTTACTGTATTGTTATACTCTCACAGGCAGCCAGGCTTGAGGAGGACATTGCTGTGGAGTGGCAGAAGAAGTGTGACAAGCTGCTGAAGGCGGCCTCAGACAAACACAGCCGAGTGATGCAGGATGTGCAGGAGGAGAAGCAGGAGCTCCAGCGCAAGATACAGGAACTTGAGAACAAGGTAGGACGTCTTGTGGGCAGACAGGTAGGACGTCATGTGGGCAGACAGGTAGGACGTCATGTGGGCAGACAGGTAGGACGTCATGTGGGCAGACAGGTAGATGACTTGTGGGCAGACAGGTGGGACCTCTTGTGGGCAGACAGGTAGGACGTCTTGTGGGCAGACAGGTAGGATGACTTGTGGGCAAACAGGTAGGATGTCTTGTGGGCAGACAGGTAGGACGTCTTGTGGGCAGACAGGTAGACGACTTGTGGGCAGACAGGTAGGATGTCTTGTGGGCAGACAGATGGGATGTCTTGTGGGCAGACAGGTAGGATGTCTTGTTGGCAGACAGGTAGGATGTCTTGTTGGCAGACAGGTAGGATGACTTGTGGGCAGACAGGTAGGACGTCTTGTGGGCAGACAGGTAGACGACTTGTGGGCAGACAGGTAGGACGTCATGTGGGCAGACAGGTAGGACGTCTTGTGGGTAGACAGGTAGACGTCATGTGGGCAGACAGGTAGACGACTTGTGGGCAGACAGGTTGGACGACTTGTGGGTAGACAGGTTGGACGACTTGCATGCAGACAGGTAGATGACTTGTGGGCAGACAGGTAGACGACTTGTGGGCAGACAGGTAGGACGTCATGTGGGCAGACAGGTAGGATGTCTTGTGGGCAGACAGGAAGGATGTCTTGTGGGCAGACAGGTGGGACGTCTTGTGGGCAGACAGGTAGGATGTCTTGTGGGCAGACAGGTGGGATGTCTTGTGGGCAGACAGGAAGGATATCTTGTGGGCAGACAGGTAGGATGTCTTGTGGGCAGACAGGTAGGATGTCTTGTGGGCAGACAGGTAGGATGTCTTGTGGGTAGACAGGTAGGATGTCTTGTGGGCAAACAGGTAGGATGACTTGTGGGTAGACAGGTAGGATGTCTTGTGGGCAGACAGGTAGGATGTCTTGTGGGCAGACAGGTAGGATGACTTGTGGGCAGACAGGTAGGATATCTTGTGGGCAGACAGGTAGGACGTCTTGTGGGCAGACAGGAAGACAACTTGTGGGCAGACAGGTAGGATGACTTGTGGGCAGACAGGTAGGATATCTTGTGGGCAGACAGGTAGGACGTCTTGTGGGCAGACAGGAAGACAACTTGTGGGCAGACAGGTAGGACGTCTTGTGGGCAGACAGGTAGGATGTCTTGAGGGCAGACAGGTAGGATGTCTTGTGGGTAGACAGGTAGGATGTCTTGAGGGCAGACAGGTAGGATGTCTTGTGGGTAGACAGGTAGGATGTCTTGTGGGTAGACAGGTAGGATGTCTTGTGGGTAGACAGGTAGGATGTCTTGTGGGCAGACAGGAAGGATATCTTGTGGGCAGACAGGTAGGATGTCTTGTGGGCAGACAGGTAGGATGTCTTGTGGGCAGACAGGTAGGATGTCTTGTGGGCAGACAGGAAGGATGTCTTGTGGGCAGACAGGTAGGATGTCTTGTGGGCAGACAGGAAGGATATCTTGTGGGCAGACAGGTAGGATGACTTGTGGGCAAACAGGTAGGATGACTTGTGGGTAGACAGGTAGGATGTCTTGTGGGCAGACAGGTAGGATGACTTGTGGGCAGACAGGTAGGACGACTTGTTGGCAGACAGGTAGGATGTCTTGTGGGCAGACAGGTAGGACGACTTGTGGGCAGACAGGTAGGACGTCTTGTGGGCAGACAGGTAGGACGTCTTGTGGGCAGACAGGTAGGATGACTTGTGGGTAGACAGGTAGGATGACTTGTGGGCAGACAGGTAGGACGACTTGTTGGCAGACAGGTAGGACGTCTTGTGGGCAGACAGGTAGGACGTCTTGTGGGCAGACAGGTAGGATGTCTTGAGGGCGGACATGTTGGATGACTTGTGGGCAGACAGGTAGGATGACTTGTGGGCAGACAGGTAGGATGACTTGTGGGCAGACAGGTAGGACGACTTGTTGGCAGACAGGTAGGATGTCTTGTGGGCAGACAGGTAGGACGACTTGTGGGCAGACAGGTAGGACGTCTTGTGGGCAGACAGGTAGGACGTCTTGTGGGCAGACAGGTAGGATGACTTGTGGGTAGACAGGTAGGATGACTTGTGGGCAGACAGGTAGGACGACTTGTTGGCAGACAGGTAGGACGTCTTGTGGGCAGACAGGTAGGACGTCTTGTGGGCAGACAGGTAGGACGTCTTGAGGGCGGACATGTTGGATGACTTGAGGGCGGACATGTTGGATGACTTGTGGGCAGACAGGTAGGATGTCTTGTGGGCAGACAGGTAGGATGTCTTGTGGGCAGACAGGTAGGACGTCTTGTGGGCAGACAGGTAGGATGTCTTGTGGGCAGACAGGTAGGACGTCTTGTGGGCAGACAGGTAGGATGTCATGTGGGCAGACAGGTAGGACGTCTTGTGGGTAGACAGGTAGGATGTCTTGTGGGCAGACAAGTGGGACGACTTGTGGGCAGACAGGTAGGACGACTTGTGGGCAGACAGGTAGGATGTCTTGTTGGCAGACATAGGGGGATGTGTTCAGACAGGTAGGACAATGTGTGTTCAGACAGGTAGGACGACTTGTGGGCAGACAGGTAGGACAACTTGAGGGCAGACATATGGGGATGTGTTCAGACTGATAGGACAACTTGTAGACAGATGGGGAATGAGTTCAGGCAGATGGATTAATGGATTATGTGTTCAGGCAGACATGGGGTATGTTCAGATGTTTGTTGAAAATGCACAAATCATAGTTTCTTTGAAGTTACTCATTTGTGCTGTGATGGTCATTGGTGCCCTTTATGTCCTGTCCATAACCATGGTAACGTGCATGTTCCAGCTGCAGACGGCGAAGGGTGTGAGCGGGTCGAGTGAACAGCGAGTGTCGCAGCTGGAGGAGCAGGTGGAGGACCTGACCATGTGGAAGGACAAGGTGAGGTGTTGAAGCATCTCTGTACTCTGTAGGGGCGGTGGGGTAGCCTAGTGGTTAAAGCGTTCACCCATCACGCCGAAGACCCAGGTTGATTCCCCAAAAGGGTACAATGTGTGAAGCCCATTTTTGGTGTCCTCCGCCGTGATATTGCTGGAATATTGCTTAAAGCGGCATAAAACCATACCCACTCACTCTCTCACTGTCCTCTGTATTCTGTACTGTGGGAAGATTGCTTTAAAAAACAACCTTGCCAGCTACTGATGTGTTTGAACTTTATTCAATTTGTAGACATGTCAATCTCACTCAGGGTTTGCAAAACGTGAAATGTTGGAGACGCATTTGAATTGTTTGTGCCTGAAAATTCAATGTACACATGCCCTAGGCTCATTTAGTCTGTTGAAGCCCTGATTTAAATGTATTAAGATCAAGACAACTTATTTAAATGTATGAATTTGACAGTAAAACAACTGTTTGAAATAGATTTATTGGGCAGTAAGACAACTGAAGCAAATGTTTCTATTTGACAGTAAAACAACTGAAGCAAATGTATCTATTTGACGTAACACAACTGAAGCAAATGTATCTATTTGACGTAACACAACTGAAGCAAATGTATCTATTTGACATAAGACAACTAATCTATTTGCCAGTATGACAACCTGCGTAGTCAGGCGGCGGCGATGAAGGAGCGGTACGAGGACCGTATCAGTGAGCTGGAGGAGGAGCGAGACGGGGCGGACGAGAGGCTGCAGGGCCTCACATTGCAGGTCCAGAAACTCAAGCAGCTCGGGGCGCCCTCTGGTGGAGCCCAGGCACTCGTGTCCACAGATGTTGTGGGAGAGGTGAGAAAGATTGTGTGTCTTTGGTGCAGTAGTTTGTTCATAGAGGTGAGGTGAAATTGGGTGTAACGTCGCATTCAAGTTTATTGCAGATTGTAGTGATGTGCATGCACGTCTGTGTGTGTGTGGCTGCTTGTACTAGCCCTGACTTAGGCCGGTTTTATAGTGCTAGCCAACTGAGATACCATGACATGAATACCCCAATAATGTTAAAAGCGGCGTTAAACCCAACTCACTCACTCACTCTATCCCCTTACTGCAGGGTAACAACAAGTACTATCTTTCGACATCTCTTGGTATGATTCAGCCAGGGGTTTGAACCACCAACCTTACACTCTCTTAGGAGACTCATATGGGTTTTAGTTAGTATGGACGTGGACATAGCATCATAAAATACAGTCAAACTTCTATTCCACATCGTAGATGTTGCGTGTTGCTGTTGAAGTTTGACACAGTAATGAAGTTGTGTGATGTTTCAGGTGAAGAAGATCATGAACAATGTGTATCGTGGACTGAGGGAGGACTTTGATGCAGAGGAGTCATACACAGGGGCGGAAGTCCTCTCTGCCATCCTCAGTGCCATCAAGGTAACATTCCTCTAAGACCTGTATCACTTTGGGCTTGGGGGCACGTGTGGCCCAGTCGTCTAAAGCGCCGCCATTCACTGTGCAGAGTTGCGTCCCTTGGGCACGCCAGAAACCTATGATTGTGGGTTCGAATCCTGGTTCGCCCTGATTATGTTTCTAGGTTTGTCAGCACCATACCCGTGCTCGTGGATTTCACCGAAGTGGTAAACGTCTGAGACCTGCATCACTTCAGGCTTTCCTCCCACATTAAGAAGCTGACACGCTGTGATATAACTGGCATACTGTTAAAAAGCGGTGTTAAACCAAACTCACTCACTCACTTTGGGCTTCCGGCTTCAAAATGACATGTAACTGACCCGTGAAGATCCGGGGTAGAATAGGTCTTCAGCAACCCATGCTTGCTGTCAAAGGTGACTATGCTTGTCGTAAGAGGCGACTAACGAGATCGGGTGATCAGGCGCGCTGACTTGGTTGATGCATGTCATCGATCCCAATTGCGTGGATTGATGCTCATGATGTCAATCACTGTGTTATCTGGTCCAGACTTGATTATTTTCAGCCCGCCGTCATATAGCTGGAATATTGCTAAGTGTGGCGTTAAACAACAACCAAACAAAGGAGGGACTTGTGCCCAATAGTCTTAGGCAACATAATTTGCTGTGCAGAATTGCTTCCCTTTGTTGGATTATATTGATTTGAATCCCAGAACTGCCCCAATTCTGCATCAACACTTAACAGTGCTTGTGGGTGGTAAACAGTGGTAAATGTTGAAGACCTCCATCACTTTGGGGTTTCCTCCCTCATGGAGCTGACACCCTGTGATATAACTTGAGTGAGTGAGTAAGGTTTTACAGGGCTTTTAGCAATATTCCAGCAATATCCCGGCGGGGACACCAGAAATGGGCTTCACACATTGTACTTTGAGAATTGTAGCATCTTCGTCATGACGAGCGAATGGTTATTCCACTAGGCTGCCCCGACACCCCTATTAACTTGAATACTGTTCAGAGCTGCATTAACATAAACCTTGCTCCCTCCAGACCACGACTCTACAGCTGGTCCAGCGACAACAGTCTGAGGGGGGTAAGACGGAGACGGAGGAAGAGGAGGAGGATGAAGAAGAAGAAGAGGAGGAGGAAGAGGACATTGAAGAAGAAAGGATAGAAAAAGCTGTTCCAGGTACGTTACCTGCTCTCCATGTGCATTATTCAAGTTTTTCTGACTGAGTAAGAGAGACACTACAGTCATGACTGCATGACCCTGTGGGCACGCTGGGTTAGAAATGATCCCAATGATATGTGCTGGTCGTAAGAGGGGACCAAAGGGATTGATTGGTCAGGCTCAGTTACTTAGTTGATAACAAGACATCGTACCCCGACTGTCGATTGTTATGAGTGAGTGAGTATGGTTTAACGCTGCTTTTAGCAATATTTCAGCAATATCACGGCGGGGGACACCAGAAATGGGCATCACATATTGTACCCATGTCGGGAATCGAACCCGGGTCTTCGGCGTGACAAGCAAACGCTTTAACCACTAGCCTACCCGCCCGCCCGGATTGTTATGAGCACACAATGCGTGTTTATAGCTTTCGGCCATGGGGGCTGTGCCAATTTACCCTTTTCAGAGGGGTACACAAAGTATGTGATCTAGACTACTGTTGTCAGACTTTCATTTTGTGCAAGCCTCGCTTGCTGAGTGGGTTAGATGGCTGACTTTGTGTGCTGGCGATTAGGTGCCTCACTCTGGCAGTGTGAGTTCCAATCCCAGATGGGACTCAACCCCAAAAAGTACTAGAATCTGTACTTTACTGAGAAAGTGTTATCCGTATTTGTAATATAACATTAGTTACATGTGGATTGTTGCTCACAATATCAATCACTTGTTTGTCTGGTCCAGAGTGGAATATTACTTAGTGTGGGGTTAGGCAAACACACAAACATGAATGCAAGAATAAGTTTCTTGTTATGAGATACAGAACAAATTAAGATTATTATTATTACAATGTGTGAAGCCCATTTCTGGTGTCCCCCGCCGTGATATTGCTTGAATATTGCTAAAAGCGGCGTAAAACAATACTCACTCACTCACTCACTCACTCACTCACTCACTCACTCACTCACTCTTCGGAGTTACACAAGAAAATCTATTCCCAAATGTATGGTGAAAAATTAGTTATGTAAGCTTTATGATTCCTTTCTATTTAAAACACATCATAAAAAACACGCAAATTAGTAACTCCAAACATTCTTATCCCTAGGAACACATTTCTTCATTTTACTTTATGGAACGTTTGTCAAGACGAACCCTGTGGGTTTTAGATCGGGATGCATGAACATACAGAACTGTATGGCAGCAAGGGAAATGTGAGCCTCAGGTATAGGACTGTGGCAGGCTAATAGAGGCTGAGTAAGTTAGTGTTGGACCACTGAATGAGATAGATGGCCAGTGTCCGAATGTGAATTAGTTATTGATTTTATTGCTTAGGGATATTTAGTTCACATTATGCAGCCTTACAATTTCGTTTTTATTCTAGGCTATGCCAGAGGACTATCATAAATGTTATTTCATTAGTCCTCAGAGTTAGTAGCTGGTCCTGTCTGAATCAGACAAAAATATTTACCGTTTTTACATTTTCTGTCAGATTTATTCAGTTCCAATTTGTAGCAAAATTAAAGTATAGAGAACTGGTTCAGGTATATGGCCGGAATATGGCCCTCAAATGCTACTAATTCATGAGGACTACCATCATTGGAATTTAGTACCTGTAGTCTCAGGCTGACAGACTAGCATGGACTTTGAGAGGCTGATTATTCATCAAGTTTGTTCTTCTTTTCTATAAGGGGGCACAGGTGGCCCAGTCGTCTAAGGCACCGCGATTCGCTGTGCAGAGTTGCGTCCCTTGGGCACGCCAGAAACCTATGATTGTGGGTTCGAATCCCGGTTCACCCTGATTATGTTTCTAGGTTTGTTAGCACCATACCCGTGCTCATGGGTTTCACCGAAGTGGTAAACATCTGAGACCTGCATCACTTTGGGCTTTCCTCCCACATTAAGCAGACATGCTGCGATATACCTGGAATACTGTTAAAAGCTGTGTTAAACCCAACTCACTCACTCTTCTTTTCTATACCTTTAACCTTTTGAAGAAAAAGAATTTTTTTGGTTCATTTGGAATACTACCTTGACATTGAAGATTGCTTGGTTCTGATTGGTTAAAAAGAGTTTTCACAAGATAAAGTGAAAACCCTTTTAGATTAAGCCTTTTCACACATAAAACGTGCGGATGAAAAACATTGATCTATTGACAGCCTACACATCAATGAATGATAAAATCTATTTCAGAACACACAATTAAGTAAAACACGCACTAACCACTGTATCAGGGCCACATACTCATCAGCCATAAAAAATGAGTGGCCTCTGCAGCTAAAAACAGCAGTATTCAGCCATACTTCAGGGTGTTTCAGTTGGCAGTGTTTGTGCCAGAGGGCTCATTTCCTCCAGTAGATAATCAGGTTAATGTTGAACGTAACTACTCATCGGGATTGTCCTCGGGGTTCTTGTAATTTGTAAATAGCACTGTCACCATTGACAACTATATTGGCAGTCATGGTTAGTGAAGAGTAATGAAAGTAAGTGAGGGAGAGATTATCGTGATATGTATTACAGTTGGGGAGATATTTCAAACCAACTGCTACATAAGTGCGACTTCAAAGTACCTAATATCGTGTTATTTAATATACAGTGAAGCTGTTAATGGCTGGTTGCATATGATTATGTCGGATAAATGAGTATGTCGGATAAACGAAATTAAGTAGTACCAACGTTTGTCGGTCATAGTTCGCGAAAGGTTCTTCTGACATGACCTGTAATGGGATGTCCTCGGCGATAGCGAGAACTTGTATCTGATTTTAATGAGATTGATGTAATCTAAGCACGTGATTAATCCTGTTTTCTTTATTCAAAGCATTAATTGTTTATTGTTAAGCAAAGTTTATCTCTGCAGCTTTGTAATATGCAGCTACCAGCCGACTCGCTTCGCATCAAAACACTGGCTGTGTACTCACGGGCAGATAACCATGGAGTACGCTGATCACTGTGTCAGATTAACGAGACTGATCAATGAGTGATTTCGGTAATTCGTTGCAAATTAGGTGTGTAAGACTGTCGGATGAACGGGTCTAAATAGCATTGATTTAATCGGTTCCCATCATTAGTGTCGGATAAAGCCGATTGTCGTTTTAATGAGTGTCGGATTAACGAGGCTTGACCGTAATTTGCTGGAGAAAGAAATTCGTTCAGCATTTTTTTCACTATTTCTACAACCCATCAACCCGACTATGGGATATGTCATGTGGATTTCCAAAACATTCTTGGTAGAGCAGTGTAAATATGCAACAGATTGCAATGAAATTAAATATATTTCTATGGAGAGTTGTTTCATCAATTCTTTTTGAAGAACTATGTATTTTGTAAAATTATCTTGAATTACTAAGAATAAAAGTAAATAATCTAGAATTTGAGAAATATTTGTTACCTTTATCACTACCTGTGACCACTTTTTAGAATGTTCTAAGATCTGTGACCCCTTTTCAGAATGTTCTAAGATCTGCGACCCTGTTTCAGAATGTTCTAAGATCTGTGACCCCTTTTCAGAATGTTCTAAGATCTGCGACCCTGTTTCAGAATGTTCTAAGATCTGTGACCCCTTTTCAGAATGTTCTAAGATCTGTGACCCCTTTCAGAATGTTCTAAGATCTGTGACCCCTTTTCAGAATGTTCTAAGATCTGCGACCCTGTTTCAGAATGTTCTAAGATCTGTGACCCCTTTTCAGAATGTTCTAAGATCTGCGACCCCGTTTCAGAATGTTCTTAGATCTGCGACCCCGTTTCAGAATGTTCTAAGATCTGGGACCCCGTTTCAGAATGTTCTATGATCTGTGAGCCTGTTTCAGAATGTTCTAAGATCTGGGACCCCGTTTCAGAATGTTCTAAGATCTGTGAGCCTGTTTCAGAATGTTCTAAGATTGCTGACCTACCCCCATGTGTAATTATGAGCTCCAAAAGACTACGGTTTTGAAACCATTCTTGTCAATAAGGGAGAATGGACATAAAACATTTGTTTTTTTCTAATTTGATGTAGTCCCACTGTAGCTAAAGCACTCCGTTCCAAATTAAAATAAGAGGTATCTTATCTACAATGTGACTACATCAAATTTCAAAACAAAGTAGGTTTTATCTCCTAATTCTCCATTTTTCACTTTTGAAATAGGTTATCACATATAAAGTATTTAAGTACCGGTAACAAGTTGGGTTAGTTTTTTAGTACATTTAAGACCCACTGCACAACACGTGAGTTTGGTTGAATCCTGCAAGAAGTAATGAAAATCAATTTTGTTATACTGACTTAACATAGAACCCTGTTTGCTGATACATACTGATATTCACTGGCCAGTTTCCTGGTGAGAATTCTGGGGCAGAATAGGCCCTCTGTCTCATGGTTGAAACCAGGGACCCGGAAATCGGTCTGTGCGCCAGACTTGTCCGATTGTGACTGCAAAATGTCCAATTTGAAACAGTGCAAACCTGACTTTTTGAAATTCGGTCAACATCATCAATCAGCACAGGCACACTGACCTACATCCCGATAGGTTGAAATTGTTTATATATAAGATCTATGTATCTATAGAGTGTTGTGCACTTTAAAACACATTGAAGATCTATCCCTTCAGCTAAATATTTCAGTAAAAATATGAAATTTTATATAAAACATCGCTAGACATGATGATTTACCATTTTAATTGTATTTCCTGCTCTCCAAGGTATTATTTTTTATGCAGAGATTAAGATTACAGAGTGTATTTTCTTGTAAACTAGCAGTCAGCTGTACACGTTCTCTTCTTATCTATCAGTGATTCAGTTAAAAAGTACCCAATGATACAGCTTCAAAGAATTTTGATGCAATGGTCGGAAGAACTGTATCTGAAATTATTATTTTATCAGGAATAATATATTCCAAAATCATGTTATTTAGTGCAGCTTTTACTATACACTCTAAAAGCTATAAGAACCATAGCGTAACACATTGGTACATTTGATTGCTATGGCAGGATATTTTTACGTATGGACCAATTTGACCAGTCACTCTAGAGACTTCCTGTGCTACATGTATTATG